TACACAAACAACAATTAGAAAATAATACCACTAATACCATTATAAATTAATATAAAATGAATTATATACATATTATATCTCTAAATCATTGCGATTAAAAATTACCTCTACATTTAATAATATTTCTTTATGCAATTTATCAATATTTTTCTTCATAACTTTCCTAATAAAATCAGAAACTTCAAATTCAGATTGTTAAAACGCTTGATCGATCATCATTTTGACCATTCGCCAACAAATAGTTTTAAATGTTCGCGGAACTAGAAAGTACTCACGTTATAAAATCGAAACGATATTCGTTTACCCATTGGAAGAATAACCGAATAGGTATTGAAGCGTGAGAAACGAAATTGTTATAAGAACACTTTTTGATAGAAACGCTTCTGTTTACTTCATTCTATAACTTGCTGTAACAAGCAAGTTGATTTTAGTCGTTTTTTTTTGCGGTACGTCGAAAGCTTGTTCCTGCGTGTTTTTTCACGAGGATGAAAAAATTTCTCGCTCCAAAAATCAACAGAATCTAACGGTAGGTCGGCGTAAAGCTGGTAAAGAGAACAAAGGAAAACAGTGGCGCCGCGCCGGGCCGCTTAAAGTAATTTCTTCACCCTGCAAATTTTCGTGGCCAAATATCGTGCAGCAAGCTTCACGGGAAAACAAACGATCACGAGTCTTTTATGGAAGCAATCTGCGCGAACTGGGGCCCATTTACTTAATGCAGCTTGCCGGTACTGACTCTCTAATTAATGTCACCCACGATTTCTCTTCCGAAAACCGTGTTGTTCCGTTCTACTATATCAGTTGCCGTAAAGTGTGCCTTCATCTCACGCTTCTCTGAACCAATCAGATTTTATTAGATAATTTATGATCGTTTTTGATCCTGGTATTATGCACCTCGATGGGTTTTTCAATTTCAGCTACTTTACTATGTTTTTTTAAGATAGCAAAATATAAACATGGACATTAACTTTACATTACGTAAATTACGCTTAAACGATACAGCACTACAATGTGTGACGGACAATGCTATTTTCTACGCGAGTACATCGGAATGAAGTTTTTCGTAATTAATTTATAATTTTTCTCAAACATATGATACATGTGCTTTAACTTTGATAATTTACTTTTTTAGAAAATTCACAAAATATGTGATTTCAGAGTTCTAAAATCGAGAACTTGAAAAATAAAAACTTTTACGATGTTGAGATTTACAGACTAAAAAAGCTTGTATTATTGTACTGTACACAGAACCTTGCATAACTTTTTATGAAAACGCGTTTAATTGTATAACTTTGTTTTATTTAATTATGTAGGCATGGTTCTATTTTGATTCATTTTAATTATTACAGTTAGTACAATTGTTACAATTGCCATTTTTACAATTATTACTATTACTACAATTATTTGATTATTAACAATCGTATCGTACCCCAAACGGTGAACAATAGGACAATTTCATTAACATTTCGATGATAATAGGATGCACCATTCAATTACAGCTTCAGATCAATCGCTTTCGATAATTAACTTCGAAAGAATAAGAAGAATGATCAAAATACCCCACGAGGATTTTGTTCTGCTTCTACTCGTTTTATCCGTTTTTAGCCATAGCTTGCTCGATCAATTTAATTAGCGCAGCTTTGTTTGGTCAGATTTCTCCCTTTGAGAAACATCGAACCACGCGAATAGAGAATTGACCTGCACATCCATGCCGCCTTCATATTAATCAAGCAGCGTAAACGTTCGGGTATTAATTAAACGACAGACCTTCTGTGAACGATACACCGGCCTTTTGACTGAAACTATGTACCTCAGTGTGATGTAGACGCGATATCGAGCTGAATAGAGCTATAGCGTTGCTGAATGCATTGATGAATTTGTTGTGCTCGGTGTACAGTTCCAATTCCACTAATTCCTGTAGGATAGGACTGTACAGTCTTGTGCAAATTTCACTTCTTCAGGAAAAATATTATGAACATCGATGGGGGAATCAGCTGTCTTTTGATTTGATGGTGGGAAAATTTGGGAATTCGGATATTTAGAATTTTAGGGATTTGAGAAGATTGAAATTTAGTCTTGGGAAAATTTAGAAATTTCGATATTTAGAATTTTAGGAATTTGAGAAGTTTTGAAATGTGGGTTTGGGAAAATTTAAAAATTCAGATATTTAGAAATTAATAGATTTGAGGAATTCGAGACTATGTGTTGGGAAAATATGTAAATTCGGATATTTTGAATTTTAGGAATTTGCGGAATTTGAAATTTAGTTTTTGAAAAAATTAGGGAAATCGGATATTTAGAATTTTAGAGCTTTGACGACCTTGGGGCTTGAAGACTCTGGGATTTGGAGTTGAAAACATTTAGGAATTTAAATGTTCAGAAATGTAGGAGTTTGAAAACTTTGAGATTTGCAATGGAAAAAATTTGGAATATGAACATTTAGAAATCTAAGAATTTGAGACTTCAAATTTGAAAAATTCGAAAATATAGAGATTATTCAGAGATTTCAGAGTTTGAAGAATGAGAAATTTGTATTCTTAGGAATATAAGAACTTGGAAGTTTAGAAATTGGGAAACTAGAATATTTGGAAATACAACAATTAAGAGTCTAAAAATTTTAAATCTGCAAAATTAAAAGTTTGAGAATTTAAACATTTAGAAATCTAGGAGTTTGGAACTTGAAAAAGTAGAATATTTGGAAATATGGGAATTTGAAGATATTAAATTTTAAAATATCAAATTTAAAAATGTAAAAATTTTGGAATTTACAAATAATTATGTTTGTTGTATACGTTTGTATTCGACAGAAGCTTGGCGTTGCACCTCAGTGTACACAACTCAGCGAAGCACGCTGTACGGAAGGATTTAAACGTACAATTAAGTTATCAATTTAATTAATCGCTAATTCACACTCAAGCTTTAAATCTTGATGAAATTTCCTTTAATTCAGACCTAAATTGTAATTGTTAATTGTACGCTTTTGAACAGAAAATGAAAGGATAATTTTAATTCAAACTTGTCGGTGCTACCTTTAATTATGTGCTCCTTCATATAACGATTAACTTTTAATCAGTTCTTGAAACGTCTTCTAATTAATAACTAAAAATTCAATTTTCAACTTAATCATGACTAATGTACGTCTAATATTTATTTTTTTATTTAATCACGATTAATGAAAGGTTAAAATACACGGTTTAATTGAATCTTGTACGAATAAAAACTGATTTTAACTTTAAGTCTTTAAATTAATTAATAAGTTATATTAATAAATCAACATGTTTAATTGCAACTGTCAATGTATATACAAATCTTGTATACAACAGTTAGAAAACCTTATACATGTCATATTATTACTGTTATAAAAATAATAAACTGTAGTTATAAATATTTACTAACATAAATATTGAAATGTGCATGTTAGCACAAATATTGATCATTTGAGTACAAATTTATTTTTAACGAATCTTATTCAATATTTTCACAGCACTTTGTTAAATTTATTATTCAGAGTTCCATGCAGTTAACATAAATAGTTACTATTAGATAAGTAAACAAATTTTTGATAATATAGGTGACAGATTATAAAACTTCAACTCTAAACCCGCCGGTATACAAGATGCCTCACAATTAGTGTAGGTCCCGGAAATAGCTGACGCGATTCTGAGTAAGATTTCCCCTTGAAAAAATAGGAGTGTTACTCCCTGAAAGGGGTGGTAGAGGACGTCATTCTGAACAAAATTTTCCTTTGCAAAAATGGGGTTTGAAGCTTCGTTTTTAAATTATTAAGCAAAAACACGGACCAATCAGAACGCGTGGATTACGCGCGCACAAAAGCGAGAGCAAAAGGTTCGAGCCTAGCAGCTGAGCACTATCATGATCAAGTGCTTATGCGCTGGGACAGTAAGAAGCCCTTACGTCAAATCTCAGTTAAATAATGAACAGCACAGTTACAAATAATGTTCACTTATTCGTTGGGATGAGTAAAGAACAGAATTAGTTATGTGTAATCAACAGAAGTCGAGTAAATTAAATTTCTGTAACTTTAGATATACATAAAACTTATAAACCATTAAAATGAGACTCACCAATTGTTCAAAAGTAATCGTAATAAAGCATACACAAGTAAAAGTTAAATATAGATAAACAAAGGATAAAATATAGTTAAATCTTTACCTCCATAAAAAGCAATTATTAAGGTTTAAACCTCATTCACATACAAATGACACAGCAGTCAAAGTGCGTTAATTAAAGTCCACGAGTAAATCTTATAGTACGAACGATAAGATCTCTTTTCGTAAAATTATCATTTTCCTCAGTGAATCTTTATGTACACATATAAATCTGAGTTCAGTTTCATGTTATGTCATCAAAAACTACTGAATATTTTTTTCATATTTTGCACAGAGGTAGATCTCATAATGTAAATGATATTAGGGCAAGTTCTGCAGTGATCAAAATTGAAGAAGTACCATAAAATCACTTTACTCACAATATCGCGTGCATTTTGGCAGAAAAAATATTTTTACATGGACAATATTATGTTGCACTGTCTACAGTTTACCTGTCTAGGACGTAGCACATTCTCTGTTATGGCAAACGCACGAAGAATATAGTTTATCAAAAAGCTCTCCAGTAGTTACAATTTATGGCGATTATTAAAGTTATTTATAGTTACAAAGCAGACTTCAAGAATTAATCAGCTTTGAAATTTCATCACATCTAGTATTCTAATTTGGACAACAATCTTTTAAATGTTCCAATCAATAAACAAAGTAAATTTATCCATTCTCCCAAAATTTCATGAATATCTTATTCTCTTACTGAATCTTGCAAGCGATATTTATTTTTAACCCTGCAATGCGGGTAGACTGGTTAGTCTTTCTGTAGTTACAAAGTATTACAAATGTCAGTGTTACGTTATGTTAACAATTTCGAACACGTACATGATACTGTAATTCTTTTGCTATTTCATGCTACCGCAGCTTATTTCATTTAATTTGCAGGAGTCTTCGGCAACTGTCCGCTGGTACAAGCACCTCAATGGGGCACCGTGAGGGAACGAGTTCTTAAAGATGGCACTCTGCAGACCGTGTACTCGTGCGAACCGGGCCGTAGATTGAAGGGTCATAAAATACTGACTTGTACAGCCAACGGTTGGAATCATCCCATCCCGAAATGCGTCCCTTACGGTAAGCGAGGTGGAGCACTTTAATTTACACGCTTCTTGCTCGAAGGCTGGCTAAATATGTCCCCATAAACTCCTGCTTTTATTTTCGTCTTGAAATGAACCGGAGAACGGTTAGTCTTTCGGGTTTATGTAGATATAATACAAAGTTCTTGTGCAAGAGATTTTGTTTTGGCATTTTAATCATTAATTTGTCAATTTAATTTAATAGCTTTTACTGTGCAGAGAATTTTAATTTTCTGGAAAATTAGTTTTTTGCTGTGTTAGAAAAATATTATAAAAGAAATGAAGTTTTTTCGATAAATGAATTTTTAATATTTTGTTTTCGTAATTAATTACTTGAGTATATCTACTTAAATATATAAGTATTCATTGAATGTATGTATGATATAAGTATTCATGTTTAAATATGTGCGATTTATATTCACGTACATATGTAAGTATTTTTAGTTACATTCACTTTCCGGCGTGTCTTGCATATTAATTTAGTAGCACAGAGGAGAAAAACTTCTGAATTTAAAAATATGGTATCTGGAGTAACTTCATATTTGAACTTATTAATTAATTCTGCTGAAGGTTATTTTTTATAACGTCACTTTTTTGCTTTTCAAAGTATTCAGACATATTTATGATGATGAAAGAGCCGTAAATATTAGCTGACACAAAAATTGATTCGTAAATGTAGTAATCTGAAGTCTGTATCGTGATTGAGTATCTCATGTCAGTTTCATTTTTTTCAGACTATCCTTTTTCTGAATGAGATTCTTTCGATTTAAAACATTTTTAAATGAACATATCTATTGCAATGAATGAATAACGAAAATTTATATTTGTATTTAAGTAATCTAAAATAAAATTTGTAATGTTATATAAAAGTGGTAAATAATGATAGGTAGTCAATTTTCTAGTTTTCCAAACTTCTCGATTTTTCAATTTTTCAATTTTCCAACATTGCAATTTTTCAATTTCCTTGTTTTTAAATTCTCTAATCTTACAATTTTCCGATTTCCCAACTTTTCAATTGCTTCAATTGTTTTAATTTTCCAATTTTTCCATCATTTTATTTTCCTGTTTCCAAATTTTTCAATTGTTTTAATTTTTAAAATTCCATTTTTCTAAATTGATGATTTGAAATTCTCTCACATGAAAATTTCTAACGTTGTTTATTCAAAATTTGTAAAATACAATAGGTATAAATCTCTAAGACTAAAGTAAACTAGGTGTAGAGGTTATAATTCGCGCGTGGATACGTGGCATTAGTTGTGTAGGCCCCGCCGTTGGGTGGCGTTCTAGTTGCAGTTGACCGCCATGCGTTGGAGCGCATCGTGCGTAAACAGACGATATTTTTCGTATTAAGATTATTCCAATACTTATTTCATTATGTATAACTTTACTGTGTTGTGTTTAAGGCTTTTGTTATGTGGAAAAGATTATATACAGTCAGTGTAAAAAGTATTCGTACAGTAATTATTTCTACAAAAATGTTGTGAAACGTCATTTATTAACAAAATTTGAACAAATAAAAAATACATACACATTCTTACATAGAATACATAGACGTCTAAGAATATGTATGTATTTTTTATTTGTTAAAATTTTGTTAATAAATGACGTTTCACAACATTTTTGTAGAAATAATTACTGTACGAATACTTTTTACACTGACTGTATATAATCTTTTCCACATAACAAAAGCCTTTTTACTTTTAACACACTGCGCCAACACTAGGTAGTAAAGTAGTGGAGTAAAATAAATCTCTAAATGCGTACATTTGACAACTAGATATTTTTATATTTTGAAGTTCTTCAATTTTTTAATTTAAGTGTTCGAAATTCGTAGATCTAAATTTCTGAAGTATTAGCTTCCAAAATTTTACATTTTTAAATTTTTGGATTAACGTTTTCAACAATTGTTACGTTAACCACTTTTCATAACTTTGAAGTTTCTGAATTTCCAAATTTCTATGTTAAAAAATTAAAAAATTTTTAACTTCCACTTGGAATTTGAGATTTCTACGTTTCTAAATTTTTAAATTTTAAAAGGACCAAAAATTTGTCATTTTTGTATTCCTACATTTTTGTAATAAACATCTTTTTTTAAACAAATTTGATCCTGTCATCGTCAAACCTTTCTCTACTCAATTTTTTTTATCCAATTTATTAACTTCTTATTTATATCTTTTCAACAAAACTAAGAATAGTACATTTCTAAAACTTTTTAGTGTGTTAAGTATGTTAAACTGTTCATTTGTTAAATTGTTAGTTAATGATGCGTTTAATTATAATAATCTCGACATTATTAGAATTCATTATTTCATTTATTTGCAGAATTAGTACGGTTGGAACATGTTTTCATTTATGTGTTTTACTTTTTTACAGAAACGTTGTTTATTAAAAATAAAATAAATTGTTTTTATTTCTAGCAAACATTTTGCTCAATGCATTGGCGCATGTGAATTCATACGAAATCAAATTGATTTCTCCGAATTGAATATCAGCTTTACTACTGTATAAACCCGGTTCAGAGACTCTCGGAAGAATTGTTTGGCACTACAGTATTCAAGGTGTTGCTGTACTTTGCCATAATGTCACGACATGTATTCCGATCTGAGTATCCTGCCAGACGTCGGCATAATAATACGGCAAACGGTCCACTTGACTCGTGATGATATCGTTCAGAAGGAAGCATAATTTTTTATACTCGCTTTTTCACGACGTGCTTCGATGCTTTAAGGCGTTTCATTTTGAGGTTATATCCACTTTTGATTCCATGTCATGTTTTCTTCCTGTGATTTGTAATTCTTTATTTACAGTCATTCACAAAAGTCTACATATATTTGTCGAATGTCGTTTATTCATATGCGGTTTACGATTTAAATTTCATTGTACATTACAACCTGTGTAAATTTAAGTCATACAAAGAAATACATATATTTTTAATAGGTCCACATACGTATGTTATACGTATAATACGTATGTATAATGTGGAGGAAGAAAATTATATATGTTTTACAATTTTAACAAGTGAAAATATAAATTAAAGTTTCAATTCTCGATGCAGAGTAGACATGTTACGTAATATTAAAAAAACTAAAAACGTAATATTAGATATAAAAGATACAATTTTATACAGTAAAGCCGAATTTCTTTCAATAAATTATTAGCATGAATACATTTTTACATAGTAAGACTTAATTTCTTTCAATGAATTATTAGCATGAATGCACTTTTACATAGTAAGGCCTAATTTCTTTCAAAAAATTATCATGTTTAACTAAACAAATTTTTTGAATAAATGTATATTTTGTACCACTCGAATGTTTCATTTAAAATTTTGATCTGTATTAATACACATACTATTTACAATTGTGAAAGCGCATGAAAGTAAATAAACCTTTATCATATTATACTGTTGCCATTTCATTTGGTTTAAACGAAATCGTACCATTAATTATTATTATTCGGTTATAGATGAAAGCATTCGTGCTACAAGTTTACGAGATTATAGACTACTCTAATCTTAATTACAAACTCTAACACATGAAATTTCCACTTGCTCTGTACACAATTTATAATTCTGAAAATCCATCAGATCAAACATAGTTCCACCGCATTTCACGTTTACTATTTCACGCGATTTGAATGGAAATCGTAATATTAACCATTGTGCGGAGCATTCGTGATATGAGCTTACGAGATTATACGCGAAACAAACGGAATTAAAAATAAATATTCGTGGGGATATTTCAAACTTTTCCATAAAATATTTCACTTTCTAATTAAAAATATCTTATTTGTTATCGAATATTTTGTAAATGTAAGTTTTGCATTCCTTTTCAGCAAAAGTATTATTCTTTTTCAGTAAAAGAATAAACAATAATTATTTTTCTAGAAGACTATTTTTTAATTTAAGGCATTTGAGAATTTAGACATTTATGGGCCTTGCAATTTGCTAATTTGAAAATTTAGAAATTTAAGAGTTTGGATTTTGAGTATTGAAGAAATTGGGGATTTGAGAATATGAAAATTGGAGAATTTAGGGATTTGAATATTTGAAAAATGGTAAAGATTTGGGAGGGTCAGAAAATGAAGAAAATTTGGAAAAATTAAGAAATTTAAAAATTTTAAAAATTAAAAATTTGAGAATTAGAAGTTAAAAGGCATGTGTATTTCGAAATTTGGAAATTAACACAATTTCGCTGAAGACAAAATTTTGCTCTCTTTTTTCATTTGTTTATTCATGATTCGCCCTTTTTCCTGTTGTACCACCATTTTGGAATCACGTTGTATTGTTCAGCAAATATTAACACGTTGATTGCCATGGTGGTTGACTATGACCATCACTGCAGATTCAGTTAAATCAACTAAAAGCAAACTAAAAGCAAATAAAAGCAACATTCGACGACTCTCAATGTTGAAACAATGTTACACTAATACATTAAAACGTGAAATTAAAGAATAAAGAAATAAGTACTGAAATAAAGAAATTAAGTACTTAGTTCTTAATAATTTGCATTATACCAACTCTTTTGATTTTTAATCTGAGTTTTTTGTTCAAAATTATGACCAATACTATTTTAATAATAATTTGTAATGTTTAAACAATAAATTTATAAAATAAATGTGGTGTGTTAATATAAATATTCTGCTAATTTCCATAAAAATTAATTCTCAGACATTTCATAGATAAACTACGAAAATTAAGTTTTCTCAATCGTTTACAAAAAATTATTTTTTCGTTTTGTGTAAAAAAATACGAAACTTAATAAATTATCGTGATCCTACCGCCATGAATTATGTCTGAAATTCAATTTAGCATGTTTATAATTATATTGTTTACTACACTTCCCTCCACATTGTTTCATGAGACCGACATTGCAAGTTTTAATTCACCTACATTTCGATTTACGATTATTTGAAAAAATCGCTCATGCCAATATTCCTCGTAAATTTTCCACGGTATTTACGTCAGTAGAAGGTGCAGAGCAATCTAATAATCGAATG